CCCCCCCCCTCCCTCTCGACCATCTCTAATCACCCCCCACCGAACTTACACGCCTTCCTCCATCCTCTAATCATCACAACATGACTTCCCCACACCTCTCACCCCAATTCAGCGAAGAGGCCGCTAATCAACCTGCCCCACCCAAACTCCCTCAGCTAACGTCCGTGGAAGACGGACTGAGCGATCCCTTACACTCTAATCTAGCCAACGGCCGCATCCCACCACAACTCAGCACATGGCCACTAGTCAGTCGTCCTGACACACCAAGTCCCCCCCCCCCCCCTTATCCCTTCCCGCCCTCCCTTCTCCCCCCCCCCTCCCCCTACGTAATAACTCGTACTTGAGCTTGCACGTAAGCCCTGGATTGATCCTTCGCATACAACACAAAAGTCGGCCAGCTCACCTCAGACCACGTGGATAATCAGATAGGGGTCCTGGCAGCATCTTTCAGCAGGCTGCAAACGAACAGCAAACAGATCACATCAGAACACGTAGCATAAGGGGAAAAAAAAAAAAAAAAAAAAAAGCTCCCAACCAGTACCGGAAACGAGGCATAGAATCCATCGCAGACCACTCAATCCAAAACCAGGAACGTAAAACCAACTCACGCAGGTCCACGTCAGCAGATAAAGACATGGCTCAGACCTACCAGCACCGCTTTAGCACGGTAGCTGCAACTACAACAACCACCTCAAAGCCTACTTCCCAGATTGCCTCCAATGTGGACCATGAGACGCTGCGCTTCCTCTTCCTCTTGGAAGCACCATCAAAGTCAGAAACATCAAGCACAATACTGATGAAGAAGTGACAGCGTGGGCATATCCGAAAGACAAGATAGCCGACACGAACGCGACCTACTAGAAGCATGCGCTCATCTTCTCCTTCTCCAACGCCGGAGCCAGCCTCTCACCCGTTGAAAAGAGGAAATGGATCGTGAAAACCATTCTGGAACAGGAGAACATAAAAACTGATGCCGACAAGTTCTCCCTGCTCGGCTTGGGCAGAACCATGATGATGGTGGTGTTCAAGGACGCCACTCAAGCTACACACTTGCTGGAAAAATGCGAAACTTTGAACTGTAGTGGCTCTGTCTGCACCCTGTCACGCTGGAGATCCGAAACAGCACAGCGAGCCGAGATCTCGCCAGCTGCCTCCTCCAAACGGCGATTGATGAGGAAACAGTTCTGTGTACAATTCGACAACATCCCTGCCAGAGGACACCCCCTCATCAAAGACCGCCTAGAAGTGGAATATCCAGCCAACAAGGTACTGAAGTGGGTCCTTTCCACGCCTGACTTCTTGGCTCCCCACTGCGATTCAGTCACAGCTATCTTGGAGGTACTCACCGACGACCCTCCGATCTTCCCAGAAGAGTGGCAATGTGTCATTGGAGACAAAGTCACGGTAGTAACAGTCTCAACCAAAGCGTCCCCAATCTGTTTCAGATGCAAAGCCAGGGGCCATCTGGGAACAGATCCCAAATCCCCACGCTCCACCGAACAGAAAAAATTAAGGCAAAACATGTTAGTAGAGGTGGAAGAAGCCAAAGGAATCTGGTTTGTGAACGACTCAGACTACGACGGCTGGGTCTTTGACAACAACATCCCAG